GCTCGCGGGCTCCGCGGGGGTCGGGGCCGGGGATCGGAGCTGGCGGGCACCGCCCGCCCGCCCCGCACTCTGACCCCAGAGAAGTGCGTTCCGAGGGCTGGAGCTGGAACAGCCGACCTGCGTGTGTAACTGTGCCGCAGGAGCTCAGATTAACTTTCGCTCCCGGAAACTTTTGTGACGAAAAAATTCGACTGTGTATGTGAGGCTTTCGTGACTTGACTTTAGAGAGACGACTATCTTGATCCGACTGTGATTTGCCTCTAAGTGCTAAAACGCCGCATTATTTTTAGGAATGAAAAGGAAGGCGTATAGAAATTAATTAGCTTGAGGAATAGTATTCCGTTGGAAGTTTTTAGGACCTTCATTCGCGTTTGTAACTTAGCCAAAGCTACGGTGTTCAGTGTGGGCTTATTTTTTCTTATTCTCTTTTAGGTTATTTTCCTTCATGGATTGGGAGATACTGGGTAGGTACCAATATTAGTAACAGTAATGAGATGGGGTCATGCTGCTGTTTACTGGTCAAAGGTTGCATGCTGAAGAAGGCTGAGACTGTAGAAACAAGTATTGCTGCTCGCATTTCTCATAGCCCAGTGATGAGACTGGCTTTTCTGCTTACAACCCCCCTCCCCCGCCCCCAGATTTACCCCCTTACCTTGAATTTCTCCTCTTTGATCTCGTCTCTAGAACATGTTAAAATTGTTAACTGCTCTTTGGGTGGGTATTAGATACCAGAGGAGTGGAACGTTTGCCGAAGCAGTGTGCAATTGAGAGCTTTCCAGGGGAATTAAGGTTTCAGAGCACGTTGAGAAGGAGAAATAGCAATAACATGAAGCATATGGCATCCCAGATCCATATAAGTGGATGATCCCTTAAAGAAGAAAATCAAGAAAGAATAGGCAGAGGTGACAACTCAAAGATTAATTTGGAGGCTTATCAAACAAATTTTGTTTTATTTTTGTGGTTCTGGAGACCAAACCCGAGGCCTTATATGTGCTGGGCAGACACTTTATCTCAGTCCCTTATCAGTCTATGCTGTACTCACTTTAGGTTATGATTTTTTGTTATTCATTCTTTTTTTTCTGCTGAGAGGTTTTCTTGTGTTTAATTCAGTGAAAATCTGATTGAAACTTGGGTTACATAGGGCTGTTGTTAAAAATTGAAATTGAAACTAGGGAGATGGCTCAGTAGTTAAGATCACAGGCTGCTCTTCCAAAGGACATGGGTTCAATTTTGAACACCCGCATGGTGACTTACAACCACCTGTAACTCCAGTTCCAGGAAGTCTTATCACTCTTCTGGCCTCCACAGGAGCTGCACACTTGTGGTGCACAGACATACATGTAGGCAGAACACCTATACACATAAAAAATTAAAAGATTAAATTTTTAAAAATTGGTTAAAAAAGATAAATTTTTATAAAGTAGCCAAAATATTATTAAATGTTCTTTCCAAGGAGTTATTAGGCCTGCTGTTCCCAATACTGAAGAGGTTGAGACAGGCAGTTTGCTCAAACCCTGGAATTTGAGACCAACCTGGACAACATAGACCTCGCCTCTGAATGAATGGGGCATTGAGCTAGTCTAGAGTCCCTTTAAGGTACTAACAGTGTCCACCCTCTTAACTTTGGAAATTAGATGTATTAGCTAGATTCTTGTTTTGTTTTTTGAGACAGGGTTTTTCTGTGTAGTCCTGGCTGCCCTGGAACTCACTCTGTAGACCAGGCTGGCCTTGAACTCAGAGATCCACCTGCCCCTGTCTCCGAAAGATATATATGTGCTACCACCTCCTGACAAGGGCTAGATTTTTTAAAATTACATTGTGTGTGGGTGGGTGGGTCCATCAGGACATTTTGGAGGAGTCAGTTTTCTTTCCACCAGGTGGGTTACTGGGATTGAGTTCAAGTTGCCCATGATGGTGGGAAGTGCCGTGGCCACTCAGCCATCTCCAGCCCAGTTGCTGTCATTTTTCTCTGATTCCAAGGGCGGCCCAGAATTAGCAGCTGTCTTCCAGGCCCACTTCTGTCTGATAAGCCTTCAAATTAACCTAGCTGTCACCTGGTAGTCGACTGGTTTTCCCTTTGAAGGGATAATTTTCTTTCCCTTTCTCTCACCCTCTCCTCTACATGCACAGCTGGTTTTCTTTGTTGTTGTTGAGGTAGTCTCTGTGTGCTGGCTGAGGTCAGTGTAGACCAGGCTTGCTCCAAGCTTGTCATCCTCTTTCCCTGCCTCTCCAAAGTTTCCTTTACAGATGTTTGCCATCATGACACACAGCCTAGGGGAGCAACAGTTCTGTGTGTGGGTGCACATGTGTACATACATGGGGAGGATGGAGGACAGCCTTGAATGTTGTCCACTGTTGACCTTTACATTTTTGTTTGTTTGTTTTTAGAGATAGGGTTCAGCATTGGCCTGGTTTTTTGGTTTTGCTTTTGTTTTTAAAGATGTATTGATTTATTATGTGTATAAGTGCTTTGCCTGCCTGTGTGTAGGCAGTGTGTGTGTGTGTGTGTGTGTGTGTGTGTGTGTGTGTGTGTTTCTGGTGCTATCGGATGCCAGAAAAGGGCATCAGGTGCCCTGTAACCAGAGTTGTGGTGCTGAAAACCTAACCCAAGTCCTCTGCAAGAGAAGAGCATCAAGTGCTCTAACCACTGAGCTGTATCTCTAGCTCCTGCTTTTTTGTTTCCTTTAAGCATGGTTTCTGGGGACTGAACTGAAGTCCTCAGGCTTACAAGGAAGACAAGCATTTTTACTAACTAAACTGTCTTCCCAGTCCCATCCCTAGTTTATTGGTGGAAGTATTAAGGCAACTCCATGTAGTTGAAAGGGGGGTTTATTTGAGGGTTCTACTTACAACAAGTAAAGGGATAGGTTACAGGGCCCGGGAGAGGTGAAGTAGTCCAGTGGTGCTCTCTGGAGAACTCTGCTCGGTCTACCATCCCACATCCAAGATTACCAGGAACCAAGAGAGCAGACACATCCAGATCCCAGGTCCTAAGGGCTCCTGTCTCAACCCCGCCTCAGGGGCAGGCCATAGGTAGGCATGTCAGTTACTGGAAGCCTCAATGGGGGTAGTAGTTCCAGGTCAAAGCTGGAACAGCTACCCATTACACTAGTTCTTAAAAATGATTTATTTTTCATGTTCTTCTATTTGTACTATGTCTAATATGAGGTTAATGAAAATGTTGTAGGACTCTATCAATCCATTTGATAAAAATGACAGATTTGTGGACCAGGCTTGGTGGTACAAGCCTTTAACCCCAGCATTTGGGAGACAAAGGCAGAGAGGGGCCTCTCTGTGATTTTGAGGTCAGTCCTGGTCTCGGAAGTGAAACTGCTTTACACACACACACACACACACACACACACACACACACACACACACTTGCTCTACTAAATGGATTTTTATGTTTTTGAGACAGGGCCTGTCTGTGTGGCCCTTTGCTGTCCTGAAACTCCCTGTGTAGCCTGACGTGGGCTTGGCTTCACACTCGAGATGTGTCTCAGAGAGTGCTAGTTAAAGGCTTGCTTCACCTTGCCTGACAACTGAAAGGAGTTTAAATGGCAGAACTTCTGGGGAGCTGTTTTTTGTTTGTTTGTTTGTTTTGTTTTGTTCATTTATTTTGTTCACAGCTTAGTCTTGTGGACCAGGTGAGTCAAAACAAGAACAGACTTTAGTGTAAGCATGTCCTCTACAGATCCAGTGTGGCCAGATTCCTTGAACTAAGAGAGTGAAAATATGAAGGAAAAAAAAATCAGTTTAGAAATACCAGAAGCTTCTGTGATATGAAAGGAGTTATTTGTTTCATGTTACAGTTGTTTATGTAAAAATTAAAAATATTCAGTTATGAAAATACCAAATGAACTATCACTAAAGGCCTGGTAACATGATTAATTCCATGAATATACAGTGAAACTCAAAACCAGCCAGCCTAAAAAGCAGCAATTTAGTGTTTAAAACTCTTTAACAGAAGTCCTCTGACATGCTTATATGTGTAACATGTAATAAAATGAATGTTGAGGAAATCATGTTCTGTATTGCATACCATCAGTTTTCTTTCTAAAGTAAAAATAGTTTTTGTAATTTGAAAATGTTACAGCTGTATGGCAAAACAAAATTAATATGTTTTAAAAGGGAATGAAATGCATTGAAATTCTACAACCCAGATATACCCTATTTATTTTCATAGCATTTAAAAACTTTTATTTTGAAATATTTCCAAACTTACAGATGTTTCAAGAATAACAGATCCCTGAGTCCCCTTTATCTAGATTTACTAATCTCTTCCTCTGCTGACATACATATGCTTGCTGTACCGGTGAGGGTAAGTTGCAGATGCAATAGTTGTGTGTCCTATATGCCACGTAACTCCTATAAGCTATATATAAACTGAATGCTTTTTTTGTATAAGGACATCTTATGTAACCATGGAACAGTTATCAAAATTCAGGGCATTTGATATTATCTAATGTAGCACATGTGCAAGTTTTGCGGGGTCACCTCAGTAACGTAATCCAATTCATTGTCACATGTAAATGGATTCCTGTCCTGACCACTTGGTCCCAAATAAACATACAGAGGCTTATATGAATTATAAGTGCTCAGCCAATGGCTCAGGCTTATTGCTAACTAGCTCTTACATTTTAAATTAACCCATATTCCTTAATTACACTCTCCCACATGGTGGTACCTATATTAGCGTGACATATTCATATCCTGCTCCCTCTGCATCTGGCTGGTGACTCCTGACTGCGCCCTTCTTCCCATCATTCTTAGTTTGTTCACCCTGCCTATACTTCCTGCCTGACTACAGGCCAATCAGCATTTTATTAAACCAGTTCAATTGACAAATCTTTACAGTGTACAAGAGGATTATTCCACAGCATTTCCCCCCTTTTGTCTAATTAAAAAGGACAGTCTTAACTTTAACAAAGTAATATTATATACAACAAAAACAATTATCAAATAGGAATTATAGTTACAATATCCAGTCTGTTTGTATTTGACAAAATCAGAAAACATTTAAATTTCTATCCTATCTTGGTGAGTCCAAAGTTTTTTGTTTTTTTAAAAATATTTATTATGCATAAAGTGTTCTGCCTGCATATATCCCTGCAGGCCAGAAAAGGGCACCAGATTTCATTACAGATGGTTATAAACCATCATGTGCTTGCTGGGAATTGAACTCAGGACCTCTGGAAGTACAGCCAGTGCTCTTAACCTCTGAGCCATCTCTCCAGCCCCAAGTCCAAAGTTTTATATCTAATTTACCCTTTTATTATAACTAAGGCAAATTATAACTATTACTATCTAGTCTTCAACTCTGTGAAAGAATCCAGAAAGATGAAATGTTACCTAATAACAGGGACATCTCAAAGAAAAAAAATTAAAAAGTTAGCTGGGCGCCGGGCGGTGGTGGCGCATGCCTTTAATCCCAGCACTTGGGAGGCAGAGGCAGGCGGATCTC